ATAAAGTGAATGCATGTGGCTGTGTACTAAGAAAATTCTATAAAAGCAGAGGCAAGCAATATTTGAGTCCAGGCTCATAGTTTGTTCATCCCAGCTCTTAAAGCAAGGAGCATGTGGGTTATTAATGTTGGCATTTTATTTCTTCTGTGGTATTATGAAGTCTCTGAGGGCGTGGGCTCTATCTTGTTCACTTCTGTGACCCTTTGAATATAACAGATGCTCAGTTTATATATATTTATGTGTATATAAATTATACATATATGTACATACATGTATATACTGAGGTGTATGGGCTGATATATATATATATATATATATATATAGTGGGCACTTGTTATATTCAATAAATATATATTTATATATAAATGTATATATAAACTGGCAATTGTATATTCAATATATATGTGTATATATATATATGTGTGTGTGTGTGTGCGTGTGTGTGTGTATATATATATATATATATATATATATATATATATATATCAGGGATTAAACCCAGGGGTATTAAACCACTGAGCTACAACCTCAGCCTTTTTTATTTTGAAACAGGGTCTTGCTAAGTTGCTGAGGCTGGATTTGAACTTGTGATCCTCCTGCCTCAGCCTCCTGAGCTGATGGGATTATAGGTATGCACCAACGTGCCTGGTTCAGGTAATATTTTTTTAATTGATGTTACCCACTTCTCTCCATGGAGAAGAAAGCCAGTGGTGTGTCTGTCTTCTAGTACCTGCTACAGAAATCATTTCATTTCAAAAAAGTTGCTGGGAAACAGGCTGCCATTGCCCTCTTCTCTCCATTTTGCCTCCATCCAGGACACTCTAGAACATTGTCTGGCAAATTCTCAGAGCCAAAGGAGCTAATATGAAAAACCATCATGGGGCTGAGTGGGTAGGAGATAGATCTAGCAAGGGGAAAACTCCAATTTGGGTCTCCCATCATTTGGAACCTTCCATTGGAACCTTCTACAGCCTTAGGTGTAGCTAAGTAGTGCTGATCAAAAGAAGTGCATACTGGAATGGAAAATGTTAGTTTTCCACTATGCCTCTTTTCTTTCACAGTTCTTAACCACCTATTTGTGCTTATTGTTCCCATCATGTTAAAGCACCTCAGATTGGAATCCGGATCTGACTGCCTTCTTTTCCACAAAGGCACCTTTACTGCATTAGGCTATCTGAACCTGAATGGGCTCCCCCAGCTGGCCAATGTGGGAGTTGGTGGTTTTCTCTAAATGCTCTTCCAGTCTCAGCATACTTACTGGAACCCATCCCTGGAGCAGGTAATGAATTCAAAGGTCCTAGCTGTTGAGGAGCATGGAGGATTTTAGGAAATACAGGTAGCAAGGCTGATGGCAATGTATGATTGCAGAACTGCTTTGATGGAGATGCAGAAAGCCAGGAGAGACACCTGTGGGGAAGGGTTTGGGAGAACTGCAAGGAGCTAATGATGCTGGAGATGGAGTTTGAAAGGGTGGCCAGATGCCCCAGTGAGGGTTATCTCTCACAGCAAGCCAAGAATCTTTGAGGGGCAGGAAGCCTAGAGTCCCTTGTTGGTGGATAGAAATGTACACCAAAGCTGGAGGGCTGTGGACCACTAGTGGCCTTCACCATTTCTGTCTTGTGTGCTGAACTCTCTTTGTGGGTTCCAATCCTTCCCCACAGTGGAACAGATAGTTCAGAAACACACACAAACAGTGAAGCCCATGCTACCTCTTGGCTTCTCTCTCTTAGACCCTCTCTCCAAAATAGGCTTCCCATAGTTGCTAGTTCCCATCCCACTGGTTCCTATTTTCTATTAGGCTAGTCCTCTTTGAAAGCTATATGTTCTCTCCCACTCAAAGACACACACTCAAAGGTGGTGTCCAATTTATGGATTTCACAGAGCTCCCAAATTCATGCATAAATGCTGGGTCTGAGATTTGTGCTCCAACTGAGTCTGGCTGACTATTGCCTTCCCCATTCCTTGGGCTGTTTCCTCTTGTGGCTACAGCTGTTACTCTAGGATTCCAAGCCAGAGAGATGATTATCTGTATTTCCTGAGTACCCACTGTGTTGTGGGGGCACTGGTTGGTTCTTCCCTCAGGAGTCCTGGCCTAGTACAGCTGGGAGGAAGCACAAACAGGGAACACACAAAATAAGGGAAAGTTCAAGAGCCACAGGCTAGGAATCCAGAGAGAAGAGACAGATTAGGCTGTGCTTTTGGGGGAAAGGGGACTGGCCATTATGGACCTGGGCAAAGGGAGAAGACATTGCTAATAGTCAGGACAATCTGAGTAAAGGTATATATGACAGGGCATGAGCAGGAAACAGGCTCAGTTTGGGTAAAACACAGTAGATATGAAGCCCAGTGGAAGCTGGGAAGGTGGGGTGGGAGAAGCAGAATGTAGGTCTGTTTTAGGTTGGATGTTCTGGATGTGCATAGAGGCTGGATCAGAGTAAGGATCAGGGAGGAGGCCCACAGGTGGGTCGTTGCATTATGCCTGACCTAGGAGCCAGATGCTGAACTAGGTCAGTGTCAGTGGGGAAGGAAGACGGACTGAAACAGATCACCCCAGTGGAAATGCAGAAGTTGATAATGGGATTTTACCTGTTCCTAACTGGGGAAGCACTGCCTTCTTTTGGCTCTGATTGTCCAGATAGGTAGTGCCACATGGGAGAAGTCCAGGTGTGGATAAAACTCTAGAGGCCATTTTAGGCCATTGGTCATCAGAATAGAACAGATGGGGGTGGCCTCTATGATCTATATCTGTGAGCAGGGCAAATTCTGTTTTGAAGTGGCTGAGGTGAGACTATAGCTGGGCTCAGTGACCTGGGAGAAGCTTCAGTGGTCTCAAATCATTCACAGGTTTATGGGCACACAGTGCCAGACCCGCCTCCAAGTCTTAGTTCAAGTAGGTCTGGAATGGGGCCTGATAGTTTCTATTTCTAAAGAGTTCCCTGTTTGTGGACTAAAGTTGAGGTTTCCTGGTAGTTGGACTTTTTCCAAATGGGTTGTGGGGGTGAGTTGGCCTGAGTGAGGACTGTGAAGAAATAATCCCTGGGTAAACAGGGTGTTGGCTTGGCCAGCTGGGAGTTCAGGGTCTGTCTGGAGGGCTCCCCCAACCTCTCCCTAATTAACCTGCCTTCATCTTTTAGATTTGAGTGGACACTGCTCCCATGTATATTCTGTCCCAATTTCTACCCCGGGGCCAGGTTCACTTGTAGCCCCATAACCTGCTGGAACCTAGTGGAAGGAAGTTAGGTCATTGGTATTGCTCCCTGGAAGGGAATATTGGGAGCCCAGGCCTTCCTTTCCCTCTGCTTATAGTTGCAATGAAATGAACAGCTTGACTCCCCCACACAGTCCTGTCATGATGTTCTCCCTTGCCAAAGCCCAAAAGCAATGGAACCAACCATATACTGGAACCTCTGGAACTGTGAGCCCGTCCTTATAAGTTGTTTATCTTAGGTATTTTATCACAGTGATGGGAAACTGACAGTACTAAGACAGGAATGGTTTGGACAATCCAGAGTTTGACAAAGGACATTTTTGGTTCACACAATTATAAGCATTTTTCTAAGGAAGCTGTGTGGACAAAGACTAGGGATACCTGGTCCTCAGTGCCTACCAGCAAGTTCTGTGAGCCTCTCATCTAGCTGGGATTCCCCCCCACTAGTTCTAAGATTGACTCCAAAGCTCTGTCCTAGTCTAAACTCATTCTTACTTCTCTATTTAGCCTGGTTCTCCTCACACTTGCTCCCTGGCCCCCACCCCAAACCAGCCTACTTGTTTCTTTCACTGAATCGAAGACACCATTATTTTACGCACTGCTAAGAAAGTCACGCTGCTAATTAAACTAGGTCAAACTGCTGACTGTGACACTGTTATCCTGAAATGCCAGAGACTTTTACCTACTGAATGTTTACCTTTCTAGGTGCAACTAAATGCATTACTTGCCCTGCAGAAGCCATGCCACCTCCCTCTGAGCCTACACCACTTCATCTGAAGTTTGTGTCTAATTTCATGCCTGTTATTACAGTGGCTTATGAACTCAGCTTTGCTATTCTAAATGTCTCAGGGGCAAAGGTGGTGTCTTATTTATGTTTATATCCCACTGCCCCACCCTCCCAGCATGGTTTCTCCTCAGGCAGAGGTAATACCCCAATAACACAAACTGCAGGGCTTGCACACTTTCACTTTATTGTAGTTTCCCATGTACCCCCTGCCCTTTAACAAAGGGAAAACTTTAAATTACATTTCAATTAGGTGGAGAAGAAACTATATTCTACAAACAGAAAATCATCAGAAGATAGAAAAGCCTAGATTATTATATGTGCTATGCCCTTTTGAAGTTGCCTGATGGATTTTGTGAGTGTGATGTGCAGGGATGTCTCTGCATCATCTCATGATTTTCTGCCCAAACTCAAAGAAGATTAAGGAGGCTACCTTTTCTTTGGTTTACCATCAACCAGCCTGATGTCCCATGTTAGATAAGAGCTAAATGGCTAATATGGCATGTCACTGAGCCAGATCACCACTGTCACTATAAATGACAAGACTCTGCTGATAAAAGGAAATGTTTTATGAAACAACATTGCAGGTGGGCACTGGAAGAGTCCCTGAGAGACAACATGGAAGGAAGTAAAAAACCAGCTGTGCCTTCAAAAATGGCAGGGATCATAGTAATTTATGCCCTCGTGTTTTTTTACTCCAAACTGTGTTGATATGAAATGTACATCTGAAGTCTCATTTATGTGTTTACAACTTCTGCTTTTCTTCTAGGATATTGTCAAAGCCATGGTTCCTTGAACAGACTCTAGTGGCTTCCACTCTAGTACTGGTTTGCATGATAAATATTCTGGTCTCCCATTCTCAATCAGCAAATGGATTGTTTCTTACAGGTACCTTGATTATGTACTAGAATACTAGAATGAAATGGATGATTTCAGGGTGGTCCTTGTGATAAGGAACCTTGGGTGGGGAGAGGGGATTGTGAGTGGAGAGATACAGAGATATAGAGGGAGAACAAAACAGTATGATATGAAGCTACCTGTTTTAAGAAATTCAAATCCAATGCTGTGAAAAGAGGAATGTCTGCTGTTCTTGTCACCCTCACGGGCACGGAGGAAGCAGGGCATGGTCTCATTTAACTAGCAAGAAGTCTTAAGCTCAGAAGGAACTCATTTGAAGGCTATTAGTTCATCAGTGCACAGGGGAAAAGGTTAGTGGCCAGAGCACACACTGAGATGGCCCAGTCTCCAGGGTGCCTCACTTGACCTTCCGCAGGTGGTGAAAGCTCTGAACGGTCCTCTCCACGGCGTCATCCATGGTGACCAGTGGCTGGTACCCCATGACCTTTTTGGCTTTTTCACAGCTGTAGTAGTGGAAGGTGCCAGCCAGTGCAACCCTCATTGGTGTGAAAGTGGGCTGGAGCTGGATGATGGGACTGACCACCATTACCAGCAGGGACACGAGAAGGGCCAGGTAGTAGGCTACCCAGTAGGGGATGTGGTATTTGGGGGCCTCATAATTAAGGCCTGTCAGGATGCGGGACAGGAACGTCCAGAAAGGGATGGGTTCATCGTTGGTGATGTGAAATGCCTGGCAAGGGAACAAGAAGTTAGAAACCTCTCCTCAGCTGCAGGGGTGAGAAGGCAGCTGGGACCCAGAGCCCAACCACAGCTACTGGCTCATCCACAACTCTCACTGTGGGAAACCAGAGGCTGCTCCCTGTTTACCCACCCGTCCAGCTCTTTGTCAGGGCAGCTAAACACTGAGGTGTATATTTGGCCTCCTCATGTGTCTGGCTGCTCCAGCATTTCACACAGTCTGCCCTCAATTCTGTAAATGGGCAGCATTCAGAGGTAGAGAGGAAAGGCAGTGCAAATTTTGTTTATGGTCCAGGATTTTAAATGGAACTTAGCTTGCCCTAGGAAGGTACATTCATTAATTTAGTAATTGTCAATCATGGTAAAACTCATCTTCTTATCTTTGCATTCAATGAATGGGTGATTCATTTCTGGAACATACTATGTTTGTTCTAAACCAAAAACCACTCCCACTTTACTCCCAACCACTTGCAAGGTTATGAGTGGGAAAACTGGCAGAGGTGCAGAGTGAAAGACGACCAAGCAGTGAGGAAGGATTCCAAATCTAGGTGTGAGAACCAAAGATGATGGGGGTGCCTAGGAGTAGGAGATAGGGTAAAGGGACTAATCAGGCTCTCCAATCTTTGCTTAAGAGCTGCTATTTCCTGCCATATCAACCCCACTTCAGAGAAGGCCATCATCCCAGCCCTGATCTGCCCACTGGACACCAAATGCCAGTAGATTCATCTATATTACCCTTGTGGAGGGGTGAGAGGCCTGAGTGATGTGAGCATGTGTGGGCCATGGGGGAAATGGAAACTTGAGGAACAAGTGGGAGAAATGGTAGGAAGCAAGCACACGAACAAATGGTCACGCTCCAGAGAAGGTATGGTTTGGATATGGACTGCTCCCCAGAGGTTTAGGTGTTGAAAGTTTGGTCCTTTGCTCATTGTACTACTGGGAGGTTATGGAAACTTTAGAAGGGTGGGGCCTAGTTGAGACAAGTAGGTCACTAGGGGCATGTCCTTGAAGGGAATATCTTATCCCTGGTCACTCATTCATTCTCTAGCTTCTATCTCCAAACTTTCTAACTCCTTCCATAAAGCAGTTACAAAAGCTTCTGAACCACATGGTCAGAGGTAGGGTGCTATAGTTTAGATATGGAATGTCCCCCAAAGGCTCATGTGTTGAAGGCTTGGTCTCTAGAGTGGTAATATTGGGAGGTGATAGAAACTATAGGCAGTGGGGCCTACTTGGAGCAAGTGGGTCACCGGGGTATATCCTTGAAGGGTATATTTTCTCCCAGGGCCCTTCCCCTCTCTCTTTGCTTCCTGGATGACATCATGTTCTGCCTCATTACAGGCCCCCAAATAATGGAGCCAACCAATTGTGAGCCCAAATGAATCTTTCCTCCTTGAAGTTGTTTTTCTCAGACATTTTGCCATTGAATGGAAAGCTAACTAACACAATGGGGAACAAAGCTCTTAAGCTCTGCTCACTCCCACCTAATTAACTCATGCATTTTGTGATGCTCATTGACACAGCTCTCCCTACTAGAGGGCCTCAACATTGGCCCAAGGGGATACTAAAGCAGACTTGTAATGATATAGGATCACAGGGATAAGCAGTGAGCAAACCCAATGGCAGAGAGAAGAAATCTGAAAAAAGACAAACATGCAGGGGCAGGAAGCGGTGAGTCAAGCTGGAAGAAGCAGGTGCCTTACCTTCCCACCCAGTGCTGCATCTTGGGAGAGGTGCTCTGCAGCCAGGATGTGTCCATGGACTACATTCTCCACGAAGGTGAAATCTACCAAGTTCTTCCCATTTCTGCAGGTGCACAGGGAATGGTTCAGCTGTGCTGGTAGTGCTCAGCTGTGCTGGTAGTGCTCAGCTGTGAGCCTCATGGAGCCCCTGCAGCACAACTGCTGTCTGCCCTGGCAGTGCCCACCCCCAGCATACCTGGATGTCTGTAACAGATAAGGAAGTGGAGAGGGCTAGGACTCTTGGAGCCATTACACTAGTGGAATATTTGAGGGCCAAGCAATGAATGTGGAAGTGGGGTACCCTGCCCAAACCATCCCAGCACAGTCAGCACTGGTACTATCTGCTCAAGCTTCAATTTGGGCAGTGACTCTTCAACAACTATTTCCCAGGATATACTGGGCCAATGAATGGCTCTTGGTAATTCCTCAAAGTGATAAGTGGTAATGAGGCTTAGCAAGATGCAGGGATAAGAGTGGGAAATGAAAGGGAGGGATTATGGGGTAGGAAAGATGATAGAATGAATTGGACATTATTACCCTATGTGCATATAGGATTACATGACCAGTGTGATTCTACATCATGTGCAACCAGAAGAATGAGAAGTTATACTCCATTTATGTATGATGTGTCAAAATGCATTCTACTGTCATGTATAACTAGTTAGAACAAAAAAGATAAAAAGAGGGGAAAATGAAGGAAGAAAAGGTGCATTTGGGAGATAGCCACAATTGTTGTCACCAGTGGGAGCCCTCACAACTACTTTTCTTGAGAAGGAATGTAACACCTACATCTGACTTCTAGAAACAAAAATTTGAGGCTTTAGTGTGTCACTCTGGGCCAATTGCTTCTGCTCTGAGCCTTGGTTTCCATAATTTCCAAATAGGGAAAGAGATATTTTCCCAGCCTTCCTGAGAAGGCACACCAGGTTAAATAGTGGCCTTCAAAAAAAAAAAATCATGTCCTTCTGGATCTTTTGAATGCAACCTTATATAGAATGGGGTCAGATTCTCCTTCCCCACCAGCAAAAGGAACAAACCTTACTAACATCTGAATTTTGGACTTCTGGATTCCACATCCATGAGACAATCAATTTCTATAGTTTTAGGCATTAAGGTTTGGTAATTATGGCAGCCCCAGGAAATGAATGGAGGTCACTGCCATGGTCTGAATGTTTATGTGTCCCCAATATTCATATGTTGGGACCTAATCCCCAATGTGATGCTGTTAAGAGGTGGGAAGTTTGGGAGTTGATTAGGCCACGAGAGCTCCACCCTTGTAAATGGGACTAATGTCCTTATAAAAGAGGCTTGAGGGAGCTTCTTTGTTCCTTATGCCTTGTGAGGAAAAATAGCAGGTGCCATCTTGACAAATTGGCTCTTATCAGATACCAAATTTGTTCATGCCTTGATCTCAGACTTTCCAGACTCCAGAACTTTGAACAATATACTTTTCACAGTTTCTATTATGGTTTAGATGGTTTGAGGTGTCCTCAAAAGGCTCACATGTGAGACAATGCAAGGAGGTTTATAAGTGAAATGAATGGGTTGTAAGAGGCTTGATCTAATCAGTGAATTAATTCCCTGACAGGGATTTACTGGCTGGTAACTGTGTGGCTGGAGAAGGTAGGTCACTGGGTGCATGCTTTGGGGGTATACATTTTGTACCTGGTGAGGGACTCTTTCTCTGCTTTCTGGTGTCCTGTCCTGAGCTGCTTCCCTCTACCATGTCATGATGTTCTATCTCAACTTGGGCTGTGTGGAATGGAGTTAGCTGTCTATGGACAGAGACCTCTGAAACCTTGAGCCCCAAATAAATTTTTCCTCCTCAGTTTTTGTCAGATCTTTTAGTCACAGTGTCAAAAGAGCTATCTAAAACAGTTACTCAATGTAAGGTATTTCGTTGTAGCAGCCTGAACAAACTAAGACTGGCATGGAAAGCAGCTTGTGCACTGCATGGGTCAGGGAGGGGTGAAGAGCAATGGGGGCAAACTCACCCAATCATGAACTTCATCTTGCCCTTCTTGGCTGCCTCAATGAGGATGGGGACCAACTGGGGATCTCCTGGGCCAAAAATGCCATGAGGACGGATAGCTGTGGTTAAGAAATTTCTCTCAGGATCATTGGCGTCCAGAACTGCCTGAAGGAGAACAGGAGGAGTGTGTCCATTGCAAACTCTCAGCCCAAGCTAAGATGGCTCCTCACTAGCTGGGTAGCATTTACCATAGGGGACTGACAGATGATGTGTTCTGTTGGTATACAGACTACTGGGCAGTAGTCTGGTTTTGGATGACCACCCATATCAGTCACCAGTACCTCTCTATTCCATCCATCCTCCAAAATGTGACATGCAGGAGAAAACTGAGTAAAAACCAGTGAGCTCAAATTGAAAGGCTTGGGTTTGAGTTCAAAGGCTAAGATGCTCAAATGCTGCCAGGTGGAATTGTATCTTGGCAGCAGTTTGTGGAAAAGGTTGAAGGGTTCCAGTTATTGAGCCAGCAGTGAGCCTCCAGCAAGGCTACTGCCACAAAAAGGGCTTGGGACTTAATGACATGTGCCACACTGGGCTGTTTCGTCAATGCTGAGTGTACCATCTCATAGGAAAGGACTTAGACAAATGTAACTGGGCCCAGGAGGAGGGTCAGAGTGAGTATGAAGTCAGAAGAGTATGAAGACCATGGCCTGGGGAAACAGGGTAGCAGTGATGAGAGTGAAAGATGTTGGCAAGTGCCCCAGAAAAGGCAGCCATTCTTCCTGTTACCACCTCAGGAAGAGAGAGGTGTCTTCTGTGGGGCTATGTGAACACAATAAAAACCAAGGGTTTTAAGTACAGTCATGTGCCAAATAATAATGCTCCTGCAAGGCTGAAATCACCTAACAATGCAGTCCCCCAGTTAACCTGTATAGGAAAGAGGTTTTGCTTCAAAAGTAACAAAAAATCTTAAAGGAGTTGTTGCACTCTTGGTAAAACATGGATGATTATGGTACCCACCCTGACAAGACTGTAAGAAGACTAAATGTGACAACTCAAGCCAACTGCTTGAGAATTATAGTAATTGTTGGGATGTGTCACCTAGGAGTTCTATTCCATGGTGGCAAGATGCTTGTACAAGTTTCAGTCCCGTCAACTGTTATTTATTGATTAAATTTATAACAATCAGAGCTGGCCAACAATGGAGAAGCTGCCTCTTTCAACAGATTCCCAGAGTTGCTCTGCCTCTTGCTGTCAGGCCTGTGGTCCTCATGACCATAAAAGAAATGACTAACTATGGATTCCAACAATGTCTACCAAGGTTCATCTTGATTACTAAAGGCATGTGACTGAAGGGGTCCTGCACTGACATCAAATTTGGTTTATTATCAGTAAGGAGATTTAAAACCCACACAGGTATTGATCTTGGCTGAAACCAGGCTCTAGGTAAGTTACTGCTAGTGTCACCCTCAGGCTTTGCTGATTCCAGTTGAGCACCCAAAAGTCCACATAAGCAAGACACTGATGATCTGAGCCCAAGATGCCATTTGGAGCTCCTGAGCCTACATGGGCTCAGATGATAGTGACTAAAGTTGTCAGGGCCCAGCTGAGGCTTCAGTGTTCCTTGGGCGTAGACTGAACACAGCCTGGACACAGAATTTCAGCTTATCAAGGCCAGGCCTGTACATCCAGGTTTGGGGAAGTCTCTGAGTCTCTCTACACCCAGTTCTACTGGGGCTTTCTGAGCTGAAGTAATAGAAAACAGCTGGGAGGCACCTGGCTGTCAGATCACAGAGGACTCAATGTCAGTTTGGTGGTAAGATCCAGTTCATTAAGCACTGGCATTGAGGGAAGACCTCAGTGGGTGTGGCGTGCTACAAATGCCTGGGAAAGGTAAAGTCATAGCTATCCAGTTAAGGCGAGCTGTCTGGGGCTCAGGACACCCATGGCCCACAGCTTAGGACTGTCTCAGGGGGATGGTAATAGCTCATCCAGGTCCCATGCAGCCTGAAAGCTCAGTGGCTATTATTCAATCCAGTGGCTGCCTAATCTAGCCACATGAAAATTAGGTGCCCCTTGATGAAGGTTCTGGATCCCTCTCTGCATTAATAATCTGGTGATGATAACACTGCCTGCCTATGGGATCATTGTGAAGGTAAAAGGAGGCAGGTCCCAGAAAATACTCAGACTAGTATTCAGGAACATTAAGCTATACTGTTCTTATTTTTTTAAGAGAGAGAGAGAGAGAGAGAGAGAGAGAGAGAGAGAGAGAGAGAGGGAGGG